CGAGATTCATTGTTTTTCCATTAAGAATAATAAATTAGGGAAAATTTCATTAAAAACGTGTACTCCAACGTAATTCCGATAAGCTTTTTAATACTCCAACTTTTCGAATGCCTAACTAAATTACCCAACAATTTTTTTTACCCAGTTTAATTCTCCAACTCTTTTCCACGTGATCATATTACACACACGTGTTAACTGAGATTAATGAAACTGTAAACAGGGTTAAACATGATCTAATGTTCTGTTTAGTATATGATCATGGGTTATGTCAATATCCCATGTGTTCTATTTAAAATCGGATACAAAACAGACGTTGCCGTAATAGTAAACGACGTTCAACATTTGTCCTACGGATCGTGTTTGTGTGAGCTAATAGTTGATGAATATGAACGAATGGATTTTGCATAATGGATGGTGATCCTTGCCTACTATTACTAGCATAATTGTTTTCGGTTATCAAATTGTTTGACAATCATAAGAACAAACAGTTTCAAGGACGGAAATGCGGTTACATATTCTAAATTAATAGTAAAGGATATCAACCTTAAGTGTCTATAGAAAATATTATGAATAAAAATAATAAAACATTGCTTTAATATATATATCTTTATTATAAAGATTAAAAGAGTTAAGAAATATTACGGAAGAATTTCCAGTTATGGCCGAGAACAACTGAACTCTTTATCTCATGGTCTTGAAATTGTGCAAGACTTGGTCAAAAGTGTCAATATTTCTTCGAAGTAGGTTTGACACTATCCTGGCAATTTGATCCTTGAACGTGACATGGCTTCTATTGCTTCATGTCTTCTCGGTTATGTTTCTATTTGAAACTTTCATCATAAATTTACTTATACTTCTAGGGTACGGTACAAGAGGAAACGATAAGGAAACTATTTGAGGGTCACTACAATAAGTAGAAAAACATTGTTTTCAATATAGAACATTTGGTCAATCCAATATAGAGCATATATTTTTGTTCTTATTTTTAACTTAAGATACTTCATCTAAATTAATACTTATAGTCCAAACAGTATGATACTCCCTTTCAACAATTGAATCTAACAAATAAGACACATTACAATTTAAAACAGCCTCGTATATAATAAGAGAAGAAACATATCTAGTAGTAGAGTCAGCAACACCATTGACATTCATTCCTTTGTGACAAAACATCAGATACAAGTGTTTTCAGATTTAACATATAATCTCATTTGTAGAACTGTCCAATTTTGGCCACAAAATGATAGACACTACAAGATAACAGACATACATAAACAATGAGAACTGATAAATAGATCCCCCGAAACTACGTCAATATACAA